ATGTTCACATTTTTGGACTAATTCTCCATTGGCTTGTTTATTTTCTTAATAATAAGAGTTCTTTATATATCCTAGATACAAGGTCTTTATCAGAAAACGTGTTTTGCAAATACTTTATCCTAGTCTGTGGCTTGTCTTTTCATTTTCTTAACAGTGTTTTTTGAAGAGTAGCATTTATAGTTGTAGGCTTTATATTTAGGTAATTATCCTATTTGAGTTAATCTTTACATATGGTAGGAGTGAAGAGCAGAGATTGTTGTGGGGTATTTTTTCCCTGTGGAGGTCCAGCTGCTCCTCTGTGGGAAAGTGCGCTCTTCTGCTGTTGAATTACTTTGGCACCTGTGTGCCTGTCTCTTAAATCTATGCTATTTCTTTTATCTAAATAGCTATTCTTGCATGAATACCACACTGTCTTGGTTACTGTAATTCTATAATAAGTTTTTTTTATATATAAAGTCTTTTATATATATATAACTATAAAAATAGTTTTTATAGTAATTCTTTTGAGTTCTCTCAGCTTTTTTCTTCATTTAAAAACTGTTTTGGCTATTCTAGGTCCTTGGTATTTGTATATAAATTGTAGAATCAGCTTCTCAGTTTCTGTAGAAAGCCTGGCTGGACTTTTTCTGGGATTGCATCATAACTGTGGATCCTGACAATGCTGAATCTTCTGACCCATGGGCATTTATACATTTTCATTTATTTAGCAATGATATGTAGTTTTCTCTCTCAGCAATGATATGTAGTTTATAAAATTTCTCTCAGCAATGATATGTAGTTTTTAGTATACAAGTCTTTCCTATATTTTGTTAAATTTGATCCTTATTTTTTTTTTGCACAGAGCTTATTTTTTAAAGCTCTTTATTTTTTAAATGTTTGAACATTGTGGTAAAGTACACAGAACATAAAATTTACTATCTTAACTATTTCTAAGTGTACGGCCACCCTGTTTCATATTTTTGGCACTATTGTAAATGGTTTTGTTTCATTTCAATATCCAATTGTATAGAAATGCAAGTTATTTTTGTATTTTGACCTTATTTCCTGCTACTTTGCCAAACTGATTAGTATGAGTAGCTTTTATATATTATTTGGGGCTATAAAGTTTAGTTATAATTTAGTTATAACATTTATTGAGTGCTTACTATGTGCCAGGTGTTACTCTGCGCATCCTACATAGATTTTTATTTAATTTAGCCATACAGCAACATTATAGGACACGGAGTCTTAGAGTGTTAGAGACTGGCCCGAGGTCCTGAAGCTCAGGTGCATCGGAACCACAGGCGAGGGGGGAGGCCAAAGCTAGATCCCTTGTCCCGCTGCCTTGACTGACCACTTCCAGGTGCCAAGTGCCATGCCAAGACTTGTGTGTACTTCTTCCCATTTAGCCCCCAAAGGAGTCCCAGGAAGGAGCACTGTTACTGCCCGTTTTATCACGCCGCGGCCGGGGCGGCTTGCTGCGGAGGAGACTCAGTGACGAAAAGCTCGCGCTGCCTCTTTGGGCCAAGTGGCCACACGAGGCTGCGGCCTGCACCTGGGCGGCAGTGGGGCGACGTGAGGCCCGGGCGCAGCAGGGAGCCCAGGGGCTCCGGGGGCTGTGAGACAGGGCGTGGGACAAGGGGCTGGAGGCGCGGACCCTGTGTTCAGGGGCTCTGCCCCTTGCTGGACCCCCCTGAGCGGCTTGATCCGTACAGAATCTGTTTGCCACCGTGAGCTCTGGAAGATGTAAACCTAGTGTCATTTTTCTAAATAAAACCCGTTGTTCAGAGCTGTTCCACTCTCGGTCCACAGACAGTGCTGGCGCAGGAGAGAGAAGTGCAGGAATCAGGTGTGCGCAGTTCAAAACGCTGGTGGCTGTTGACGTGGATGCAGCCTCCAAATGTATGACTGGATTTCAGATCTTACAGAAATATCAGTCCAGGATCAGTTGGAAACTAAAAAAGAAAACAACTGCTCCTTCTCCACAGAGATTTTGTGACACCTGGCTCCACCAGAGCTGTGGATTCACAGTGACGGTTGGGGAAGCCAGAGCTGGGCCACCCCGGTGAGAGACAGGGGCCCCCGATGGGGTTACGGCCCCTGATGGGACTGCCCTGTGATCCTGGCCACGCGGCCTTCAGAATCTAGTGTCTTCTCCCTTGGGCAGGGCTGGCCCAAACTGACACTTTTCGTCTTATCATGTTTGTTTTCGGTTCATGTGGTCATTCAACAAGTATTCATTGAGACACGGTCCCTGACCTCATGGAATTTACAGTCAAATGGGGCAGAAAGATGTGAAACAAGTAAGTACACAGGCATGCAGCTGCGCCTGTCCGCACCGCTAGGAAGGGCAGTTCGAGTGCGGTACGTTAGGGGAGGCTGAGGAAGTGGCAGCTTCGGAAGGATCGGGAGCTTGCGGGGCTGGGAGACAGGGTGTGCCTGCACACGTGCACATGTGTGCATGGGAGCGTGTGTGTGTCCGTGTGCACGTGGGGAGAGGAGCAGTGGCAGGAAGTGTTCCAGGCTCCGTGTGAAGCTAGTGAGGTGGGGAAAAGCATAACACAGTCAAGAAATCCAAAGAAGGGGACATAGAAAGGGAGGGGATGACAGGGCAGGTTGGAACCGGAGCAGCAGGCAGGGCCGCTCCGAGCGCTGCTGCGCCTGGCAGGTCATGGCGGGGCCTCGGTCGGCCCCCTGGTGTCTCCACTTTGCCTTCATCAGCTGAACCCTCCCGCCTCTTAGATTAAGGAGACTTTATAAGGCTGTTTGTGGGTGAGGCTTTGCGTGGTGCCCTTTCAGCCTGAAAAAGGCAATCCCTAGCAGCTGTGGCCTTGTCCCTCATTTCACACAAGGGGAGATGGGCTCCCAGGAGGCTTTTCGTGGGGCCGCGTGTCTCCCTGAGAGGTCTGGGCCATGCCCAGCTGTGCTGTGGCTTCCACATTCTCCATGCCAGCGCAAGGGGAGCTTTGGAAAAAAGTGCATCTGGTCTCTCCACTACTTAAAACCTGTTGCTGGTTAAAATTCATAAACCTAACAGGATCTGTTGCGAAAGATGCTTGTTTGCAAATGGCAGGAGGCAGAAGTCAAGGAGGACCTGGGAAGGACCTGGGGAAGGCTGGGACTGTGGAGTTCTGGCAGGCAGGGGCCACCTGTCTTTGTCCTCGAAGCTCCCTCATGATGCTGGCAGCCCCACAGAGTCCAGTGGGCGGCCTGGGCAGCTTGCCCATAGCCTGGCTGCAGCGAGGTGGTGGGAGGGAGGAGGGCCTGGAGGGAGCAGCCAGGACCCATTTTAGCCTCCACAGTGGGAGTGCACCCCCCAGCAAGACCACACCCACCAGGAAAGGGGAAGGATGCAGGAGAGTCAGAGGGCAGTAACCCAAGCCTGCTTGTTACAGCGCAGACCGGGCTGTCCGCGTGGTGCCTTGTAGTCACACCCAACAGTTAAAGCTGGAAGGAGCAGGTCTTTATTTATAACATTCCAGCCCCAGGAGGGCTTAGAGTACCTCAGCTCGGAGCCCAGCTTTCCCACAAGACCCAGCACTTCCCATGCCCCCTACCAGGCTGTACACCAAGAGCTCCAAAAGTTTCTCATGGTCTTATCTGGTCTTAATCCAGCTGCACAAACAGTTCTCCAGTCCCTCTGGAAGGTGCCGAAGTCGCCATCCTCACACAGCAGCTCTCTCCTTCAGGACCTGCAGTAGAGGTCATCAGCCTCCGTATAATAGTCCAAAAAAGGCACTAGTCCAAGAGTCCAGGTGAAGTCCAGGTGCAGCAAGTCAGCATCGTGCAAGGAAGTTCTTTGCAGCTCCGGAGTCAGCTAGAGCGGGCACGACCCTTTCCTATGAGTCCAGGCTCCACAGCCTCCTTCCTTACCATAAGCTACATAGCTGCTTCTTTGCTCTCCCTTCTACTGCTCTTTCAAACCTCACGGCAAAAACCCCCTCCTACTGACGGTATGCCTCCCCCCACCATTACTCCCCGCGTGGCCAAGAGCGAATGGCTGCTGTGCTTGGGTTTAAATCCTCGCCCTGTGCCTCCTCCGTAACCCCGCTTCCGGCTCCTCCCATGGAGGGCTACAGTTGTCCATTCCCTCTATCGCCTGCCTTTCTGCCTTTCTTCCTGCTGGTAGTCGGAGCAGGCTTGGCCCTGTGACGCAGAGTGAACCTCCTCCAGGCTTCTCACCCTGAGCTGTAAGCTCTGGGCCACATCAGGGTTAAAGTCCTGCCCACCTCCCTGGCAACACAGCGTTTTAACATAACTATAAGCTAGCCAAGTTGCCAAAGATATACAAAATCTCCCAGAATCTCCCAGTTGCTGTGCTCAGCTTTCCCATCCCCCAAGCCAAGGTCCTGTGGCCTTTTTTCTGAAGCCCACTCTACACCCCGTATCCTGCGCCCAGCACCCCTGCCCCCCCGCACCCCTCAGGCACTGTGCCCCCTAAATCAGCTGCTTTCTGTCAGCTCCCCAGGCACGCCTGCCCCTTCCTGCCCTGGCACCGCATGCGCCCCCTGTCCGAGCTGCTCTCCGTTACCTTGCAGGGTCCTGAAGAAAGCCCTCCTGGGCCTGCCCTGGCAGGATGAGCCGACTGGCTGGATCCGGGCCCTGCAGACCCTTCTTGGCAGCGTGCCCTGAGTTTGTTTTCTCAAGCGTCCTGTAATGAATTGTTTCAATGTGCTTTTGATCCCTGTTCCCCGTTTCCTGTGTTCTGGAGCCTGCGCATGCACAGGTGCCAGGCCTTCTCGGCTGCACTGGTCGCTGGTCGGAGCGGGGAGCCACCAGGCGTGTGTCGGGGCTGCTGTGCAGCATTGGAGCTGGAGGGGCAGTCTGGGTTGGAGCGAGGACGGTGACGTGGACAAGTCACGCCATCTTCCTGACTGCCCGTTTCCTCTGTTGCCAATGGGATGAGCGGGTCTCCCTCGCTCGGCCCTTGGTCCTGGAGAAAGCCTGGCTCTGCCCCAGCTCTGCACTCGTGCCCCGGCCTGACAGCACTCTCTCCTCCCCTGTGCCTGTCCACATCACAGTATGCCTGGGTAGAGAAGCACCTTGGCCCCGACTTCCTGGAGCAGGTGGTGCTGACCAGAGACAAGACTGTGGTCTCTGCTGACCTCCTCATAGATGACCGGCCAGACATCACAGGCAAGTGGCCTGGGCAGGTAAGGAGTGAGTAGAGACGGCTGGGAGCCCCTCAGACAAACAGTACGCGGGGCTGGGCCCCACGGCGCTTCTCCCAAGCAGCCCCCACTTAGCCACCAGCTGTGTCCGGTGTCCAGCCTTGAGCCTCTTTCTTGTTGGGAAGACGAGGTCCTTCGCAGTGTGTGGCCTGGGAGCCGGGTCCCAGCTCCAGGCAGAACTCACTGGGTGGCCTGGGGCGAGTCCCTCCGCCTGGAGGCTTTGCCGTCCTCATGTTAAACAAAGGCCCGTCTCTGACTTACAAATGTTTGTTTTCATCAGAAGAGCCACCCCTTTTTTTTCTCTAAAAGCAATTTGAACTGAACCTAATATATAAAAAAGAAAAGTGAAGCATAGTTTCTCCAATCAGAGGTGGTTTGGTAGCTTTATTTGTCCCTTTTGCTTATGGAAGCCCCCTCCCATAAAACAAACCAACCTTCAACTGTCTTTAAAAGGGGAGGAGAAACTAATTGGGCACCCTAACTGGGAAGGTGGGGCAGGAGGCAGTGGGATCTAGGCATCCAGAGGACATCGGTCACACACAGTGGCTTCACCTCCTGGCCCTGCCCTCGTTTGCTGCACACGCAGGCAGGCTCGCTCTTCCTGGTGGCCATTCACAGTGTCAGGGATAGGGAGTATTCTTTTGGAACCCTCAGTGGGAAAATACAGAATATTCCTCCCCTAATGGTTCTTTGAGCTGGTTTGGGAAACATGGCCTTCTCTCTACAGAATCACAGTGTGCCTGCCCCTGACCTCCCAAACCATGCAGTTTCTCAAGAAGAGTCAGGGCGCAGGGCCAGCTGGGACTGGGACCACGAGGGTCCTGGAGACCCCCTCGACTTCCGTCTCCAGCCATGGGAAGCAGGGGAGAGGCCTGTGTAGAGGAGCTGGGGGCCAGGCCCGAACCCAAGAGGCAGGGCCAGTGTGGGCTCGTGGAGTGCGGATTGGGGGCGGGGCCCCGCCGGGCCCACGGCCAACAGTTGGCGCCAGCCAGTGTCAGGATGACTGGGAGCAGAGAGAGGAAGGCCAGGTGTCAGCAAGGCTTGTCCTCAGGCAGTGACCCTGGTGACAGCAAGCAGCAGAGTCACCGTTTGCTGGGCCCACTGTGCGCTGTGCCGCTGCTTGGTGGGGGCCACCTCCTTTAATTCTTGTCAGCTCCTTGAGGTGGGTGCCAGCGAGGTCACCACCGAACCGACGGGGAGCCCGAGTGGGTCTCCGAGGCGGCTTGCTGGACTGGAGACCCTCGGGAATGGGCCCCGGAGGCCTCTCTGGGCTCCTGCGGGAGACTGAGTGCTGCTTTCCCACCCACAGGGGCCGAACCCAACCCCAGCTGGGAGCACGTCCTCTTCACGGCCTGCCACAACCGGCACCTGCCGCTGCAGCCCCCCAGCCGCAGGCTGCTCTCGTGGGCGGACGACTGGAAGGCCCTTCTGGACAGCAAGCGGCCCTGCTGAGGCGGCTGTGCTCCGGGCTCCTCCGTGGCGCCCTGACCTCAGGGCGCCCCGCTCAGGGTCTAGGGGCTAGTGCTCTGGCCTAGGGGCTGCCTCTCAGGTGCCCCAGGCCCGCTGCATGTCTCCTCCCTTTTCCGAGCCCCGCCAGGCCTTAAACTGATCTTGCAGGACTGGCCCATGGGCACCGGACGGGACTCGTGCAGCCGGGCGGTGCAGGCGGCCGTCCGGCCGTGGCCAGGCTGCTCCAGATAAAGGGAGCAAGGGCATCGTTCAGAGGACCAGCAGCCCTCCTCCCCTCTCAGGGTGTCCCTGCCTCCCCGGCCCGGCGGTGAGGACGCCAGCTGCCTCCTGCTCTGGGAGGGCGATGAGCAGGGTCAGGTGGCGTGGCCCCTCGCAGCCTCAGCCACGGCCCCTTCCCCTGGCCTCCCTGGTCTGGGGTCCCCAGCACCCCGCCATGCATTCGGCACACCCTCACTGAGTTCCAGGGCCACGCGTGCGGCTCTGCCTTTGACCAGCCAGAGGGTCCTCACCCCTCGTCCCTGGTCCCACTCAGGGCCCAGCAGAATCATCAGGCTTGAACGTTCGTTGAAAAATAAATGCTTTTCTTGTGTCGCCTGAGGTTGTGGCCTCCTCTAGCCGCCACCCCAAGATCCTTCGGCACCTGGCCCCGGGCACCAGCCGCACACCCTGTGAGTACCTGGGTCCTCCCACTGCACTGAGGAGAAGCTCAAGAGGGCGCCGCTTCCCCCACCCCAAGCACTGGCTACTGCGTGGGGGCCGGGAGGTGGGGGGCGGGACCCTGGCATTGGTGGGGCTGGGCCACCCCAGCTCCACACCCCACACTGATGGTCAAGTTCAGCAAGTGCCACCCTCTCAAGTGCCCCCTTCCCTTTTCCATGCCGTCCCCCTCCTCCCGCCCCCAGTCCCAAGCGCGGTCTGCACCCTCTGCTCTGCTCCCATGGCCACGTTCCCCTGGGATCCCACGAGCTGCGTGTGGAGGGAGCAGGCTGATGTTCGAGTCTCAGCTTTTGTTCCTTTTGGCCGACTGGAAAGCGGAAGCCTGAACAACCAGCTCCCCATGCTGGTCTCAGGGGCCTTCACTCACCTGCCTCCTGCTACCCCGCTGCCCTCCCCTGCCCTCCCCTTGCAGGGAACCTCTAATTGCCCCATGTCTGGGGTCCTGGCAGGCCTTTCAGCCCTCTCAGACAGGCACTCTTGAGCTCCCCTGTCGGGGGGTGGGGGTAGGAAAGATGAGGGGCGGGGCCTGAGGCCCGGGGCTGGCAGAGCGTCTTGCCTTTCTGGCTCTCAGGCCTTCAGGAGCTTGGTCACCCCAAATTAGAAAGGAAGGACTCTTGGCCAGGCCAAAAGCAGTGTCCCCCTCCTGGGCTGGCTTTATCCCTTGGGGAACGGAGAAGGGGGCTTTGCAGGCCGGTCCTGAGGAAGAGTGTATTTGCAGTTGGACCACGTGGTCCAGAGGTCCAAGCAGGGCCGTGTCCAGAGTCCTGGCCTGCGGCCCTGGAAGGAAGCGAGACCTGGGGGTGCTGGCTCCTCAGCTGCTCCGCGACCCTCCGCTCTGCTCCCATGCGGACGCCGCCCCAGTCCAAGGGCCGGGAGACAGTGTCCAGTGAGCAGCGCAGCACTGCCCTTGCTCCCAGCTCACTCGCTCTGCCCGCTTCCTCCCCATCGACAGCCATCCCTGCCCGTCTGGTCTCCCACGCTCTCTCCTCCAAGGGTCTTCCTGCCTAGAGTCGTCAGGTCTAGACTTACCACTGGGATCCTCCGAGGCCCCCAGTTCTGGACGGTCTCACTCTGGCCCAATGGGAGCAGCATCGTCCCCTGCACTTGGCCTTCCAGGTGGGAAGAGGAGCTGCCGGCGCCCTCACGTGTGGGGTGTGTGCTGGCCCCAGGGCACAGCAGTGAACAGGTGCACCCGGGCGCCCCCCTCCACCCTCAGACATCATTGGCCTTCAGTCCTTAGTATGGGGGAGCAGAGAAGCTACTTAATTCATTTCTGTCCTGGGGCCTCACTCTACTGAAGACAAATTTAATCTCACCTGGTCCCGTGCTAGTCTCTTCCTCCTCCTCCTGCCCAGGGAGCTGGGGGGCTGATTTCCTCCATGCAGGGATGGCAGGGGTGAGGGCATCTGGACTCCCACGGTCCCCCTTCTGCTGGCGTCACCAGGCCAGTGGGTGCTGCTGCTGATGGGGCAGCTGGTTCTCCTGCGCTCAGTTTTGAGACCCCACTTCTGCCGGATGGCCGCTCAGCCACGACAGACAGCTGCTCCTAAGGGGCAGAGAGACGGGCTGGCCTGCTCACCTGCCGCAGCCCTCTCCTCCCGGCCCTGGTCTCTGGTGAAGGGCAGGGGCTCTGGGGCCCTGGGCACAAGCCGTGGCGGCTCCCGCCTCGCATCTGCCGACTCTGCTGCTCGCTCCCGCCCCCGACTCGTGCTGCTGACGAAGCTGTCACGGGGGTGCTCTGCCGCAGATCCTCCAATCGCTGACCCCTCCAAAATCTTTTAAATGGATTGCTTCCCTGAGTGTTAAAGGCCAGGCTAGAAGCTCTGAGGCTATGAATCACCACCTTTTCCTCTGCTAAGCTAGAGGTAGCACCTTGAGGTAGCAGCCACTTCAGCTGCCTTTAGGTTAAAGGAGAGAAAATAACTTCAGAGGCAAATAATTCCTTTCAAGCAATCATAAACAGCCCCCTGTGATTATGATGAGGGCCACAAATCCGGGTGCTGTGGGGCAGGTGGAGCAGGGCCCTGGCCAGCCCGAGGTCCGGAGGGCGCCCCCTGCAGGTGGCATTGATGAGGCCCGGGTGGGAGAGGAAAGAGTGTGTCTGGCTGGGGGACGGCCGTCCAGAGGCCCTGGGGCAGGTCTTGCTGACGAGGTCGCTCGCATGGAACAGGGCAGCAGGCCTGGAGCCCAGAGAAAAGGCGGGAGGTTGGGGCCGGGCCTGCCTGGGCCCTCTGCTGGGCACCGGCAGTGATCACGCTGGGAAAGGAGAGCCTGGGAAATAGCCGAGGATGGGGGCCAGGCCCACAAAACTGTTTGATGTTCTTTTTGTCATACAGGACACACCCAACTGAAATGAAAGTGACTTTCTTCACAGCTTGAGGAGCCTATGTTTTGCTTCAGAACCATTTAATGCACTGCAGGAAAGGAAGTCCGTTTTTGCCAACCCCAAGACGCGGTGACACGCCAGCTTGGCCCCTCGCCTTCTTCGCTGATGGCCTCAGAACGCCTCAGCACTTGTCCCAGGTGAAAACGTTGGGAACACTCAGGGAGGCAGGACCAGAAGCCCTGGACGGAGTGCCAGCCTCTGGGTTAGCCAGGGGTTCTAGGCAGAAAGGCTGAGTATAATTTCTTCACTTTTCTGGATCAGTTTCCCATTTGGAACCCATTCCAGTATTGCAACAATCAGAGCCGTTTTCTTAGGACTTACTGTGTTCTGGACACTGGTAAGTACTTTACGTGGTCTAACCACCCTGTTGTGGTCACTCTTAGTGACCGACGGGGTTGTGGGCCTGGCAGGGTCAGGGATCCTAAGTAGGACGTGCCATGTCGGTGGTGCCAGGAGTTCAGCCAGGCAGCCCCACTCTCTGGTTTGTGCTGTGACCTCCACAGTCCTGGCCGCTGACCCAGAATTCCCCAAGGGATCAAGTGTCCATGGTTAAAGCACCATCTCTCCTGGGCTGGGCCTCCATCTAAAGGTGGGTATTCAGGACCCAGCCTGCAGCAGAAACTGGAAGCCAGTGGGGAATGGGTCAGGCCAGAGCAGGTGGTTCCTAGGACCAGAGGTCTGGCTGACCTGGCCTTCAGTCATAAGCCAGGGCAGGGGAAAGGAGGGAGGGGAGCTCACTGATCCCCCAGTACCAGGTGGAGGGAAGGTTGTATGTCATGGAGACAAGGACACTTTGTAAACGCCACCTGTTGCCCTGATTTGCTCGTGTCCTTCCCTGCATTCCTGCCATTCGAGCAGAGCCAGGTCTCTGGGAGGGGCTGCCCTCCCCCACCCCGCACTGAAGTGCATGTGACTGGGAGTGAGAGGGATCGAAATTCCAGCAGAAACGCCAGCTGGGTGAGGAGGCCGTGAGCAGATGGTCTGAAGTATGCCTCAAGACCCCGTCATCTCCTTTGGTACCACAAGGAAAGGACTCCGTCCCTGCAGCCTGTGGAGATGGATGAGGACACTGGCCAGCAGCCCAGGAGGTAGCCACTAAAGATGGGCAAAGTGACCGTGGGGCTGAGGGCCGCAGGTGACTGCCCAGGCTGCCTGGGCTGCCAACAGACCTCACTCGTAGCCTCTGGGGGTGGGGGGCTTGGCCCCGAAAGCAGGAAGGACGGTGTGACCAGCGCACCCAGCAGAAGGCCACTCCTGGATCCAGGTGTCCCCTTGGCAGAACTAAGCGCTTCTAGAAAGACTGAGTTAGAGACCAAAAAAGACCATTTTAAGTGGAAAGATATAATTTTTAGTTGGTAATGAAAAAAGAATACTGTAGTGATAAGTTATCAGTGATTAGTTACAGAGTTAATAACAAACTCATATGTGCACATCTGAGTTTTAACATGTAAGTTTGGTCCTTTCTATAATCTGCCCAGAAAGCCAGGGCTCGGAGAGGTTCGTTGACAAGCCCCAGGCCACCCAGTGAGCAGAGCTTGTAGAGAAGACCCAGAAGGCAGCTGGGCACTGGGAGGGACCCAGGATGAGGAGCTGGAACAGGTGATGCCGGCCGCTGCGGTCAGCCTGGGAGCGTGACGTTGACAAAGCCACTCCTCCTGTTTCCAGAGTTGTTCAGCTTCTGTAAGGAGGGCTGCAAGAAATAGGAACTTTTATTTATTCCAGAACCTTGCTGGGGGTGGGGGATCAAGCAACTGACTTGCTTTGTGAAATAAGGTGGTAGGCTCAGTGGTCACCAAAGGGGAACCCGAGGCCCCTGTTCAGGTTTGGCCACCAGGGAGCAGCACGGTTTACCTGAAATGCACGGCAACCTGTGTGTGTGTGTGTGTGTGTGTGTGTGTGTGTGTGTGTGTTGGGGAGGGGGGTGCGGGGGAGGGGCTAGTGACGTCAGGGCACAGGCCATGGCAGGGATGGGAGGAAGGCCAAATGCCCTGAGCTCCCTTTGGGTGACCTGGACCAACGTCCCTTGCCCCGCCCCCCAGGCTGCTGGGACAGGTTGGTTCCAGCCTGGCTGAGGACCAGAACCCAGACTGCCTAGCCAGCAGAAATCCTGGTCTCCAGCCATAAACCTCAAACACCCGCCACCCTCAAGACCTTAAGGTGGCCCAAAGACAAAGGCCCCCCTGCCTCCGAGCTAGGAGTTTGCGCAGGTCCCAGGCCGGCCTTGGCCTGTACCTAAACTGTCACTGCTTCCTGTTGCATTGGAGCTGAAGTGGAGGCTCCTTAGCACTAAAGGAAGACCCTCCTCGACCTGCCGCCACCCCTCATTCCTCAGACACCCTCAAGTCCTTGCAGTTCCTTGAATGCACCTTGGAGGAGTATTGGCAAACGCCATTTGCTTCCACTTCTGAAAGGCTTTCTGTACCAAACCCGACCTCTGACCCTTGGCGGTGGCGGGGGGGGGGGGGGGGGGTGTCAGGCTGCCACCCCCAGGCCCTGCACCAGCGTGGTCTGTGTCAGCAGCTGCATTTCCAGGTTTTTATCCAGAGCTCCCCAGCCCAGGGCGGGGGCGCTGGGCCTCGCAGGGGGAGAGGCCGGCCTTTGTCACAAGGCTGCAGTCCTCAGAGGGCTCGCTGGAGCTGCTGTGAAAAGACTCTGAAGGATGGCAATGCGTAGAAACAGGAACCAAATCACCTGGCCGCGGTGAGAACACCTCGGGCAGCTGGCAATTGGGATGATTTTTTTTTTTTTAATGCTTGATTGGACTCAGCCAAACTGGCTGGGGCCCACAGGCTGGAGCCTGGAGGAGGCCAGAAATAAGCAGGGCATTTAAAATTTAGAAGCCGTGAGAGAAGTGGGGCTGCAGAGATGCAGCCTGTGCATCAGAGCGTCCCTGCCCCAGTTCTGCGGCTCCCTCCCCCGCCGCGCTCTTCCGTGAAAAGACGAAGCAGGTGCTGCAGGCCGGCGGCGGCGGCGGCGGCTCCCAGGTGCGGCCACACGGTGGCGCCAGACGACCATCCCGGCGGGCCGCCCTCCCGGGCCACGCCTGCCTGCTGCTCGGGGCTCGTGCCGGTGTTCCCAACCACCGGCGCCTCTTTCTGACCTCCTGTGCGTTCTGGAAACTTGTGTGGGCAGGGTCCGGGCTGTGTGCTGGGGGCACCCCAGCCAGTGACGGCGGAGCTAATGGTGACTCCCATGAGCCCTAACTGCCCCTGAAAGAACAACGTGTGGGGGCACTCGAGGCCCCGGGACCAGGCGCAGCGCCGTACTGCGGCCCTGCGTGGCCGGGCGGGGGCAATGCGGGGCTGCGGGGCCCGTCCTCAGGGAGAGCTTGTTGCTGGGGTCGCAGTCCCGCTTCCCGGCGCCCCTCCTTCACAGGGCACTGCATACGCGCCAGCGGGGCAAGCTAGAGCGACGGTGCCTTTTCGGGGAGCTTTATGCCCGCCCCCTGCAAGAGCCCGGAGTCGGGTCGAGCCGCCCTGGGCGGAGCTCTTGAATAACCGTCCGGCCCCGCTCCTCCATTCGTGCGGTCTCCTGGCCCCCGGCGTTCTCGCCCCTGGCCCTTGGCCCCTGACCCTGAGCAAGGCCTGCTATCTCACTCTCTTCCTGTGCTGGCGCCGCGTCCCCCACGCTCCACCCTGCCCCGGTCTCCCAGCGGAGGCTCCCCTCCCCCATGTGGCGCGCGCCGCGTGCCTCTGTCCTCCCCCCGGGGGCCGCGACGTCGGCAGGCCGCTGCCGGTCCCCTCCGAGCCGCTGCCTCCACACGCGGGCTCGACGACGGGGCTCCCGCCCCAGCGAACGGGCGGGGGCGCCCGAGCGGGAAGGACCCGCTGCCACCGAGCCTGTGCCGGCCGTCGTCACGTCACCGGTCTGCCTGCGATCTGCGTACGTTGCTGTGAGGTGAGGTAAAATGACAGCTCATTTTAATGTTGTGCTCTGTTTGACCCCACAGGCCTCTCTGTCGTTCGGTGCTGCCTCGGGCCGCGGAAGGGGCGAAGCTCAGAGGCACACGGAAGGGGGGTCGGGTGGGGGTCGGCCCTCGCGTAGCCTCCCCACAGTCCCCCGTCCCGGCCACGCGGGCAGGAACAGCGACGCCGGCTGGAACAGCGACGCGTGCCTTCCAGGCGGGAGGCAGGGAGCCGGACGGGCGGACGGGCGGAGGGAGGGCCGGAGGGAGCGGTGGCAGGCGCGGCCCCAGCAGAGGGCGCCAGCGCTCCGCGGCCGCGAGGGGCGGGCGAGGGGCGGGCGAGGGGCGGGCGCGGGGCGGCCCGCACAGGGCGCCGCCGGTCGCTGGAAGCGTGAAGGTTTAAGGCGCCTCAGTGGGAGCCATCAGGGGTCTGAGCCCTTTCCGCAGCAGGTGTGCGTGAAGCACAAATACACGCACTCACGTCCACACGCACGCACGCACGTGCGCCCGCGCCCGGGCCAAGCAGAGAACACAGCTCTCTGTGTTGGGGGTGTAGAGAGAGGTGAGTGTGGGTGCTAGGACGGAGGAGACGGACAGTGTCCCACAAGGCCGGTGACACCCAGGGGGCCCCCGAAGCATTAGTGCTTGGGTAGTGCAGGCTGCTCCCGCACAATGAGTGGGGGCAGGCTGTGGGGAACCGGTGGGACACTTGCAGCTAAATGACCTCGGATAGTAAGATGGGCCCCGTGGACGGTGGACATCAGACTCCCAAACCAGAGAACTGACACCCAAGGGAAGGGAGTTAATGTAATCAGAACAAGAGTTTAGAACAAATGTGATCGATATCCTTAGAGAGACAGACTAGAATATTGGATCCTCAGAAAGAACGACTAGAGAATTTGGCAAATTAGAATCTGGTTATTGGGGAAAAAGATACTAAATGAGCTGAATAGCAAAACTGGACATAGCTGAAGAGTAAATAAATGAATTGGTAGATTAAGCCAATGACTCATCAAATGCAGCACAAAAGAACAAAAAGATGGAAAGTACAAAATAAAAAGACATGGGAGACAAGCTTTTGTTTCCTAGTACAAAAGGAAACAGGAACAGAGCAGGGGCTTCCCAGAGCTGAGGCTGAAACCGTCCCAGGACTCTGATTGATCAAAGGCCCTTGGTACCAAGCTGGACAAATGAAAAGGGACCCAGTTCTGGACAGAGTGTTGAAATTTTAGAGCACTAGGGATAAAAAGTTCAAAATATTACGAGACACAAACCAGATTTCCTGCAAAAGAATGAAGTACTGGAAGCAGAGAGAAAATGAAGTGATTTTCTTCAAATTCTAAAAGAAAATAATTTCAAACTCAGAATTCTATACCCAGCCAAAGTACAAATAAAACACACCCTGAAGACGTGTGATGTCTGAAAATGTTTAGTACTGAAGACAAAATCTGTTTTTGAAAACATTATTAACTGATGTACCCTAGCAAGAAGAAAATTTAATCCAAAAAGTAGAATACAAGAAACAGTGGTGAGCAAAGAACTAATGAAATATTAAATCTAAATAAGTGTTGATTTTTTTAAAACAATAACAATCTGTAAGTAAAATCTCAGATACCAACAAAGGAGTTAAGGGGCTTGTGGAACAGAGGAGAGTAGAAGTGTCGGAAGCTCTGGATGGAGGGTGGGAGAGGAGACAGGTGACGTGGCTTCACATGTTACGGCGCCTTGTGCTGTCAGCCTGCTGTCACCATGACGCGTGCGCACCCTGTTCCCCAGGTGCCTGAGTGTCTCCAAGGCCACAGCCTGCCTTTCTCAGCTCCATCTGCACCTGGCATAGGGACTGGTGAGTGCCTCCAGGATGGCTGTGCAAATTACAGAGACAAAAGCCAGGGTTAAGTGATGACCAGAGACCTGGGACCCTGCTTTAGCCCTGAGCTCTCAGAAGCAGTAGGGCAGCTCCTTGGGTGGGGCTTCCAGAAGGCTGAGTATATTTAAAGGGGCTAGATAGGAAGAAAGAGAAAGTAGTTGCCCATCACCCACCTGGGAGGTAAAGCATCCACCTGGAAACTTGAGTGGCATCCTGGAAGAGGCAGAGCGAAGGTAGCTTGACTTGTCTGGACCCCTGGGGGCTTCTGATCCACTCCTCCTGGAACCCAGCGACCCAGCCCTTTCTCTTTCCAGCAGAGGCTCCCCTCCTTGGTACTCAAGCCCGGAGCAAGCCACAGAACTGGGGACAAGGCAGCCAGCTCTGAGCAGGGACACTGGTTGACTCATCAGGCTTTGCCAGGTTCCCAAGCTCTGCCTCCTTCTGCTGCGTATTCAGGCCAGCTCCTGGCTTAGCCTAGCGGATCTCTGTGCAGCTCTGTTCTCATAGCCCTGGGATGGCTGATGAAGACATTTAAAAGGGCACAAAGGTCCTGACCCCGTTGCTAAGTTGTTTAGAGCATCGTCCCGATACACCAAGGTTGTAGGTCTTATTTCTGGTAAGGGCACACACAGGAATCAACCAATGAATGCATCAATAAGTGGAACAACAAACCAACATTTTCCTGTCTCTCCCCCCACCCTCCTCTCTAAAATCAGTAAATAAAAAATTAACATAAAAAGACACAGAAATTTAAAAAATTAACAGCGGGGTTCCTGCCGTATTGTTTGGAAAACAGGATGACATCTGCATTTTGTCTCACTGAGCTGAGTCCTATTCCCTGACCGCTCACCCTGGGGGAGTGGGGGCAGGGACTCAGGAAACCAGGTCAGGCCCAGCTTTGCTGCTTACCACCTGGGTGACCTTGGCCAAGCCCCTTCCCCAACTTGTGCCTTAGTTTCCACAATGTGAAAAAGAGAAGTTTGGACACGTTGATTCTCATTTAACTGTGAGTGATTAAGAACTTTTTCTCTTCCGGAGATACGTGTGGTGGGGAGGTGGCCTCCTCCCTTTACCACCCCCTCATCCTCTGTCTCTTTGACTGATTTCTCTATAGAAGCTCTACTGTTTGCCCCTGAGGAAGGGCCCTGGCAGGCCTCTTGCTGTGGATTGGGAGGTTGTGGGGATGGGAGTCAGCAGCCCTGAGTCTTAATCTTGACTCTACAACTCACTTGCACGCGGTGTGACACTGGGCTACACACATCTGTTAGTGAGGTAATGATGACCACCCTGCTGGCCTCACGCAGTCTTGATGGCACTTGGAGTCCCTTCATTGTCCCTCAGTGCCACCATTTTCCATGTCCTCAGTCCAGATACTAACAGCACTTATGGAGCCTGAAACCACACAGCGCTGATGCGTGGGGTGAGGCCAGCTACTGGGTGAGGTGATTTCTGAGCAAGTCCTGTTCAGGAGCTTCAGCACCTCTCCATTGCCAGTGTGGGGGCAGTCTCTCAGGATGTAGCAAAGGTTCACCCCATTACCCGCTCTGATGCAGGGCATGGTGGTCACACCAAAGCCTTTCTGACCAACATTCTCCTCAATGTGACCTTATGTTTACCCTCAAATCTGAGTGGATGAATAACTTAGGTTGGAGCAATTGAATGTGTGCAAAGCACTGTGAGGCCAGGACAGAAAAGGCAATACGGGTTTCTACTTCTTTGCCAGAACATCATGGAAGTGGTGCAGCTGTCTGAAGTTGCCAAGCTGTGGGGAAGCCCAATTAGTTCACATGGATAAGCTTGGAGGTCACACCAAGAGAAAAATGTAGGCCTGCTCCCAGAGGCTTAGGACGAACTGCATGAAAGACTGCCCAGCTGAGCCCTTCCAGAATTCCTGACCTACAGACACTGGGTCTGTTTATTGTGAGAAACAATAAAGTGTGATCTTAGCCCTTAAGTTTTGGGGTGCACCATTATGCAACAATAGTAGTTGCTTCAGAGATGGTGAGTGCAGGGTAGAGAGCAGAGTTTCCTTCACAAATCTTCAGAAGGACCATGGCCTAGAGTTGGAGAGGTGGCTTAGCCATGGACCCTTTACCTTGGTGCCTCTTCTGTCAAGTGCAGCAAAAGAAGGATGGTTTTGTGACCAGCTTGACTAGTGCTCACCAATAGCTCCTATTCTCACCTCCTGGGCACACAGGAGGTACGTGCTCACCCCACCACTCCCCAAAGCCAGCTGCTCATTTCTTGGGCAATGAAACGAGAGCAGACATGATTGATGCTCCTTCCTGGAGAGTCAGTGTGTCCTCACTTCTGCCTGGGCAAAACCTAAGGCCTCATTTTGAGGTGGTGGTATCATAAGACAGCAGAGCATCACCAGGTCTGTGTTCCTGAAAATCTTCAAAGAAAGATGATTGTGACTTGGGTTTTTTTGTTTTGTTTTGTTTTGTTTTATTGTTATTACTGCAGCATAGAATAATTATCTTGACTGATTTCAAAACAAATCATGAGGAGTAAAGATTTCTTATTTTATTATTGAAGGCCTGGGTCATCACGGGCATGCAATTGAATGTTAGCTCTTATTGTAATGCCAGGTGCTATGTGTTAGGAGTAGGGGTCCAATTACGGGGTGTAGGGATGAGTAGGCTACTTTTTTTCTAAATCCTCACCTGAGGACATATTTATTGACTCTAGAGGAAGAGGATGAGAGAGAGAAAGAGAGAGGGATGTGAGAGAGAAACATTGATTGGCCTCCTATACATGCCCCTAGCAGGGATTGAACCCACAACCTAGGTGTATGCCTTGACTGGGAATCAAACCCACAACCTTTTGGTGTACAGGATGATGCTCCAACTAACTGAGGCACCTGGTCAGTGTAGCAGTTTACTTCTGTGGGCAGCTGGGGTTCAGTCCATCTGGGGACCTAGGGACCTGTTGGGTGACTGTGTTCAACTTACTTCAGGTTGTCCCAACCCAGAGGGTTGGGAAGATGAGGATTTGCCTATCAGCTCTCATCATTCTATGGGGGTTTGAATGACTCACCCCAAGATGTGCCTCTGTGGTAGACATATTGTTTTGAGCTAAAGGCAGGTTTAACCACAGCCTCAAGACCAACTCCTGCCCCCAACCCCTTAGCTCCCTAGATGAACTTGAATTACAGACCTTGCTCATATAAATGATTATCAGAGAAACCTCTTCTGACCTGTCTATAGGGCAGAACAAACTTCTGTTCACTAAGCATCTGTTCTTACCATCCTGCAATGACCCTTTGAGGTCCCCGACACACCTTCCCTCATCCCTGGCTCAGAAGGTCACATACCCGCATTCCCTTTCTGTCTCTGGACCTCCCTGCCTCTGGGGTCTCCAATTCTCTCATGTAGGTGTGTTACCAAAAAAAAATGAGGTTTGGCTGCCCACCACCAATTGGCAAATTCTGGAGGCAGAGAGGCTGGTGAGAAAGAAAAGAGGTTTTTATTCACATGCTGCACAACCTGGGAAAATGGCGGACTCTCTCAAAGTCCATCCCCTCCGGGAACCCAGAGGAAAGCCCAGACACCCTCAGCCAGACCAAAACCAGAGGAATGAAAGAAAAAAACAAGAATTGAAAGCAGAGACTCAAACAGATATCTGTATAGCTGTGTTTGTAGCAGCATTATTCACAATAACCAAGTGTCCGTTGAAGGATGAATGAATAAACAAAATGTGACTTGTACATCCAATGGAAAATTATTCTGCCTTAAAAAGGAAGGGATTTTGACAAGTATTAAAACATGGATAAACCTTGAAGACATTATATCAAGTGAAATAATTACGTCAGAGAAGGACAAATACTGTATTATTCCACTAATATGAGGCACCTAAGCAGTCAGATTCACAGAGACAGAAAGAAGGGTGGGTTCGCCCAGGAGGAGAGGGAGGGGGATGGGAAGTTGATGCTTAACGAGGACAGAGGTTCAGTCTGGGAAAATGGAAAGTTCAGTGAATGGATGGGGTGATGGTTGCACAAAAATGTGACAGCACCTAATGCCACTGAGGTATGCACTTAAAAATAGGGAGACCAGGCTTCTTTAGCCTCTGTAACTTGTTTCCTGAGCCCATTTCTCCTATGGCTCACTTCTACCTCTGTGACTTCCTAAAGAAACTTTCTCTCTTTAAAAAAAAAAAATTTTTTTTTTTTAATTCTCACCTGAGGACATGTTTATTGATGAGAGAGAGAAAGACATTGATCAGTTGCCTCCCATATGCATCCCGACCAGGGATGGAACCCACTACCTTTTCGTGTGTGAGACATTTCCACCAGCTAAGCCATCCGGCCAGGGCTAAACTTCTTCTTAAAAACAAGAGGTTAAACTAGGCATGGTCCCAGCAGTTTAGGAGGTCAAGGTAAGCATCCCTTGAGCCCGGGAGCACCGGGCTGCCTAAGGAGGGGCGAACTGGCTTAGGCCAGAAATGGAGCCGGTCAAAAATGGTTAAGATGTTCCCAGAAAAAGAAAAGCTGAGTCTTCGATAGTGTGGCTCAGTGGAATGAGCACTGGCCTGTGAACTGAAAGGTCGCTGGTCTGATTCCCAGTTAGAGCACATGCCTGGGTTGCAGGCCAGGTCCCCAGTTGGGTACACGAGAGTCAACCACACATTGATGTTTCCCTCCCTCTCTCCTTCCCTTCCCCTCTCTCTGAAAGTAAAATAAATAAAATCTTTTTTTAAAAAAAGGCTGAAGGAGTTGAGTTCATCACGACCAAACCAGTATTACAAGAAATGTTAAAGGGACTTCTTTAAGAAGAATAAGAAAAAAATAAAAAAGTATGAATAAAATATCACAAAAAAAATTCTCACTGACAAAAGCAAACACATAATAAAAGCAATGTATCGACCAACACTAAAGCTAGTGCAAAGCTTAAAAGGCAAAAGTAGGAAAATTGTGTAATTACAACAGTCAATTAAGGGATACACACAAAAATGCACAAAAAAGAAGGAAAAATAATGACAAAAACATAAACGTGGAGGAGATGAGTAAAAATGGTAGTGATTTTAGAATGTGTTAGAATTTAAGTGACCGTCAACTTAAAATTGACTGCTATAAACAGAGCTTGGTATGAAGCATATAGTGACACACACCAAAAACCTGTAAGAGATGTGCAGGCAATAAAGAGAAAGGAATCTACAGGAAATTATCACCATATAAGAGAAGACAGCAAGAGAATAAGAAAGGAACAGAGAAGAACTACAAGAACTATCAGAAAACAATAAAATGGAAATAACTACATACCTATAAATAATTACTTTAAATGCAAATGTATTAAATGTTCCAATCAAAAGACAAATGGATAAAGAAGATGTGGTACATACGTATATGAAGGAATATTACTCAGCTATAAAAAGAATGAAATCTTATCATTTGTGACCACACAGATGGACCTAGGGGGTACTATGCTAAGTGAAATAAGTCCAGCACAGAAAGACAAGTACGTATGACTTAACTTATATGTGCATCCTAATACACCAAATGAACAGTGCTTGCTTCAGCAGCACATACACTAAATTTGGAACAATACGGAGAAGGTTAGTGTGGCCCCTGCTCCAGGATGACACCCAAGTTCGTGGCGCGTTCCACGTTTTGTGCAGTGCCTCGGGCAGGCATCAGTGTCTGCGTGCTGGGCTTTGGAGAGGCCACTCAGAGACCCGCCCCGGGCTTGGGCCCCCGCTCTCCGGGACTCCCACCTGGTCTTTAAACACACCAACAAAACAGAAATGCATAGATACAGTTGGGAGGGGATCATTAGAGGGCTGGGTGACAAAGGTGAGGGGATTAAGCAGCACAAATTGGCAATTACAGAAGAGTCACAGGGATGTAAAGTACAGCTTAGGGAACAGAGTCATAATAATGCGATAATGGTGGATGGCGGCAGGCGGGTGCAAGACTTACCGGGGGGTCACTTTGTAAGTTACATAAATGTCTAACCACTGTGCTGTACACCTGAGCTAACATAATAATGAATGTCGACTGTGATTAAACATTTTTTTAATTTAAAAAATGGTTATGATGGTAAAATTTGCTATGTATATTTTACCATAAAAATTCATACAGAAAATGAAAATAAAGAGGTGTGACAACTTTGTAATCGAAGGCACAGATGCGCGAGGCCTCAGGGGCAGTCGAGCAAACGCCATGGGAAACGCCAGGGGAGTGAAAGGTTGCACGCCGAGGGGTGGAAGCGTTGTATGAGCTGCAGCCCAGGAGAGCAGGGCAGAGAGGGTTTTACAGGCAGGGCACGGCACAGGCAAAGCCTGGAGAAGAGGGCTCACTGGGGTGCCCTGGTGTGACTGGCAGCGAGGGAAAGGAAGCTGAAGGAAAGGTGGGCCACCTCTGGGCGGGATACCAGCAGCTTAGAAACGGTGTCCTGGCTGCAGAAGTGCCACTGGCACTGTGGGTCAGGGCAAAACCCCAGGAAGACGTGGGTCCAGGAGAGGGGTGATCCCAGGGGGAGGCAGGACTCAGAGCTCTAGTTAACCGCCCTGTCCAGGCCACCCTGCCGCTCCACTCCGGGAGTCTGGGGCTCAGGTGAGCCTCCCTGAGCTGCTTTCTGGAGGGGAAGGGGCCCAGGTGCCTTGACTCCTGGTGTGTTGTTGCTGGAAAGAGCCGTTCAGTCTGGTCGCCCAGCCGTCTCTCATTTCATGGAAGGAAATGGGAGTCCAGAGCCAGGTGAGGTGGAGGAGATAATTGGGTAAGGAAACACAGCTGCTACACCTCTACTATGACTGTGGCTAGTTACCGAAGGCATTTTATCAGTGTCGAAGAGGTTAATAGAGCTGCTGTGTCTCTGTTACTTGCAAGTCACAAGAAAGAGGATTCATTGGCTCAAGTAGCTTGAAAAGTCCCAGACAGTGCTGCTGCAGGCAGGGCTTGCCCCAGGGTCAGAGAGGGCTTGGAGGCCCTGCTCGCTGACTCTGTTCTGCTTCCTGTGTGGGAGACTTTGTCCCATGGTCCTGAGAGCTGCCCGCAGCTCCCAGGGCTGCAGGCCCCATATTCAGGCTCCGAGGGAAGAAGATGTGGCTTTTATCCAGTGTCCCAGGAAAGAGTGACCTTAAGTGGGCCAACTTGGCACTGTGGCCAGGGGTGGAATGTTCTAATTAGCATAGAGGGAGTTGTGTAACTAGCTTTACCCTAGGATCCAGGTGTGGAATTGGAAGCACCAAAACAATGTGGATTCCAGTCAGGATTGGGGATTATTGTGACGGAGGAGGAGGCGAATGGATGCTGAGGTCAATTCTGAGTGCTAAATGTTAAGAGAGATCACAACAAATAAAGAAAAATAATAATGATAATAGAGATGTTAGAAGTGCGTTCAGCTGCAAGTAGCAGAAAACACAAGCACCAGTGAATAAAACAAGTGGAAGGCCGGGTTTCCACAACGGCGAGCGGTGACAGCACTGCCCAGCGGTGCTCCTGAGGGACACGCGCCATCTGTGCTCCGGCCTCTCCACTCCCGGGACGCTCAACTCTGCTCTTCTAGTTACACGGAGAGGGCCGTGGCCCTAGAAATAATATCTGTGTCCAAGGCAGGGAGAGTAGGGCACCAGACTGAGCCTGCAGTCTCCCTCCCTGCATCATCCCTCTTACTGAAATTCAGGAGTCACTCCAGAAGCTTCGGAAGAGACTTTAATTCAAGTCTTGGTCCAGAACTGGGTCATATGGCCACTTGTTTGACCACCCATCTAAGCTAGCCTAGGACTAAGGGAGATCCTGGGAACAAAGAAGCTACAAAAAGGGGGTTGGGGATGGCCATCAACAGTGCTGGCCACAGCCACCAGATGGTGAAGGGATTTGGAATCGGGGCATGTCAGGAATGGGTAAAGGGACTAAAATAATAGCCTAAAAAATAGGAGACTCTTTATATCCTTGTATTCTGGATACGTGTTGCAAGTATCTCCTCCCTCTTGACGGAGTGCTTTTTCTTAGACACTCTTAACGGTGTCTTTGATGAATAAACATTCTCAGTTTAACATTTTCTCTTTATAGTTAGTACCTTTAGTGTCCCAGGAAACCATTACCTTCTCCAAGATCATAAAGATATTCTCTCCCTTTAAAAACAAAACAAACACAACTTTATTGAGAAGTAATTCATGTACTAAACAAGCAACCTATCTACAGTGCACACCTGGGTGGTTTTTAGGATATTCGGAGTTGTGAAACCATCACCACAGTCAATTCGAGAACATTTTTACCACCTCAAAAAGAAAGCCCATGTCTTTAGCTATCACACCCCACCCCTGTCCCTCGCCCTCTCCCACACCTAAGCAACCCCTCATCTACTTTCTGTCTCGATAGATTTCCCCTTTCTTCACGTTTCCTATAGATGGAATCAAACAATTTGTGGCCTTTTGTGACTAGCTTCTTTTAATTCGCATAAGGTTTTCAAGTTTCACCCATATCGTAGCTTTGAATCAGAACTTTATCTCTTTTTTAAAATTGTATTTATTTATTTTTAGAGAGAGGAAAAGGAGGAAGAAAGAGAGGGAGAGAAACATCGATGTGAGAGAGAAACATCGTTTAGTTGCCTCTCGTATGCACCCCGATGGTGGGCCAAACCTGCAACACACGAATGTGCCCTGGACTGGGATCAAACTGGCGACCTTTTGTTTTGCAGGATGATGCCCAACCAACTGAGCCACACTGGTCAGGGCTAAAGCTTATTCCTTTTTATTGCCAAAAAATATTCCATTGTCTGTATAGACCACATTTTATTCATCTGTTCATCCTTTGATGGACACTGGGGTTGTTTTTACTTTTTGCTATTATGGACAGTGCTGCTATGAACACTCATGTACAAGTTTCTGTGTGGGCATAGGTTTTGCATGATTTCTTTTTAAAGTTTTAATGTTTTACCTTTCTGTATAATCTACAGTTCATCAGGAAGCTGTTTTCTGTGTATGGTGTGAGGTCAGAATCAAGATGTATATCTCTTTTATACGGACATCCATCAACTTAGCACCATTTATGGAAAAGACCACCCCTGTCTCCTTGCACTTCACCGTAAATTAGGTAAGCTCCACGTGGGCCTCTTTCTGGGCTCAGTTCTATTCTCCCAGCTATTTGGTCACCCGTGTCATCCGACAGCATCTCATTGAGTAGAGCTTCAAAACCACCCGTGCTGTCAGGTTGGGCATGCTCTCCAGTTTTGTTCTTTTCAACACCACCTTGATTGTTCTCAGCCCTTTGTATTTTTATGTTAACTGAGAATCAGCCTGACAATTTCTACAAAAACAACCAAACCAACCTTTTGAGATTTTGGTTGGGTTTGTGCTAGGTCTCCAGATAAGTTTTGGTAGAACTGACATCTTCACAACCTTGAATCTTCCATGCCAAGAACATGGTATTGTACCCAAACATAGGTCGGCTTCCTGCTGCAATGAAAGCCAAGCTCATGAGGCAGGTGCTGGTGAAAAGGGAAGGGCTTTGCTCAAGTGGCGGTCACCTGAGAAGATGGGGAACTCATGTCACAAAGCCCATCTCCACCTTTCAGTGCAGGCAGAGAGAGGTTTTTATAAGGAGGGAGAGGGGAACAGAACCAAGAGACCAGGGGCAGGGGCTGAGAAGTTGTCTAAGTACAGACAAGCACAGTCCATTCTGATAAGGACCTTGAAACTGGTCACGTGATAGTCTGGTATGGACCACCCTGGTTTTTGTCATCCTGGTTTTACTGCTGAAGGTCAGCAGATCTTCCAGGGCTGGGATGACACAGTTGGAGTTTGTATCTTTTGAAGTTAGTTCCTAGGATTCTTATTAGACCAAGTCAGCACTTACAGAAACAATGTCAAAAGAATCGTGGGGTGGGTTACAGTTCCCCACTGTTAAAATTTCTCTCTCAATTTATTTAGTTTTACATTTTTCTCTCAAAAATGTTTCATAATTTTTAGTGTAGAGGTCTTACATGTCTTTTATTAGACTGTTCATAAGGGTGTTTGTTCTTGATGCTCTTATAAATGATATAGTTAAAATTTTTCATTTGGATACTTGTCTTCACAAATATGAAGGCTTTTATGTAGAGTGGGGACCTATTCGTGGATTTACTGCCTGATGCGTGCAGGCAGGCTGTGAGCCAAGCACTGTCCCTATTTTTCCATTTGTTCCATATCTGCATGGAGAGAAGACTCTTAACCCCATTTTACACTGAAGCTCAGAGGCAGAGCCAGGGTGACGCTGGGCTCTCTGAAGGCAAGGTGCGTCCTGTCCACACCTACCAGGGCTTGGTGCGGGGGAACCTGTGCCTATGCGATTTTTTGCAGGTCAGAAACTGATTCTCAAATTCAAGTGCAAAGTTTGAATTTGTCCAGCTCAATCCAAACCCATATGTTAGTTAATCTTAACATTTTTTCAGTAAATGAATCAATATATCAATCATACCACAACCAAATACATAATTTCTTAAATCCACAATACTTTTTAACCATGATCTGAGCAAGGATTAAAATTCTTCACATGATTTTCAAAGAGCACTGGAAGTTTTCTTTAAAATCTCTCAGGAAAAGGGATGTAAATGACATGGCCCACACTTCCCAATGAGCTCCAGCCTGTGTCTGCACCTAGAACTCCTGAGTACGTCTACTGGTGTCTCACAAGCCCCTTAGCCTCAGCACGATGCAAGCAGAACGCACGTCTTCCCTCCTTGGTCAACACTGGTCATGCGTTTGGACTGACTAGCACTTTTGAATGTCCTCCTTAGGTTTTGGAAATTTCCCATGTTGTAAAACAGAAATGTGCTTCCCAGAGTCCTTTGCAACTAAACATACCCATGAAATCTGAGCTTGGCCATTCACTTTGTTACCAGACAGGGTCCTGGCCCTGAGCGGGTCTGCCGAAGGCCCGCTGCAGTGTGTGGGCTCTTCGCTTCAGGCAGAAAAGATTTCACCACATGAGTCCAGGTGACTATGAGCATGCGTTTGTTAAAGCTGGGGAGAGTGAAACAAGGAAGGGCTTAGCATAGAAGAAGCACCAGGAGAGCCCAGGCGGGGCTGCCTGAGCTCACTGGGAAGCCAGAAGAAAGCGAGCCTTGGGGCCGGGGCAGGGGATCAGCCTGGGACCAGGGGCAGCAGCCCGCTGCTTTAGAGTTTAGGAGACGCATGCCTGTGGGCAAAGAACTGGGGGGGAGAAGGAAAAGCGAATGGCCCCGGCTGCTCCCCAGAGGGAGAGCGCAGGCCTGCTGGGTCCTTTGTCTTGAGGCTTTTATCTCTCTCCTGCAGGTGGGAACCTTGGGGGAGAGCGCAGGGGAGGGTCTCAGCAAAACACTCATCAGTTCTCCAGGTGGCACCCAGATCTCAGGGTCCTGGTCTCCACTGATGGGTCAGCGACAGGGCAGGGGGTCTTTAGTCATTGCAGCTGGTCCTGGAGTTGCCCACCTGGTTTTGTTGCTTTTCCTGGAGCTGGAACACAACTGAGGCCTAGATGTTATCTCCAGGGAGGTGACCTTCTGTCCCTTGCTGTAAACTGGCCACTGTGTTCAGCTTTCTCTCTCAGTTTCCCTAGTCCACTTGCCAAGGAATTTTCCTGGCTTTTTACTGTCCTGTCTCAACATGACCTTGCACGAGATACCACAGCAGCTGCAGGGGCCTCTCTGAGGAGGTTGGGCCCCGGGACACCCAGTGGCAGCACACACTGCGAGCTGCAGCGCCTGGCGCCGGGCACTGGGGGCGTGTCCTCCTGGGCTGCCACCCGGAGAGCTCCTGGCCCCCTCCGATGAGCTGACTTTATCCTTCACAACATCTCTCCTGAGCCCAAACTGCCTTGCCTGGGTTCTGCTGACCTGAGAAGTGTCCAAACCTATAGAGAATTCTTATGAGTTGAGCCAAAATGACAACATATGCCAGGAAGCAAGATCTCACATGCTATGAAGAATAGCAGTTTTACAGTTTCTTTTGTGCATTTGAAATTAAGGAGGAAACGTAAGGAGATTACAGAGGGTGGAAGAAAGTAAGGTGGGGGTGGATTACGGGTTAGTTAAGATTATGTGCTCTCTTCAGGGTTCTGAGAGGGTGGTTTTACATTAGAAGAATGGGCCTGAAAAGGGGGTATTTCAAAGGTTTGTTAAGCTAGATACAGAGAAACAATGAACAAGGCAAAGATAAATCTCCTGCTCAAGAAGAGCAGGGTTGGCTACCCACTGTACCTGCCCAGTCAGGGATTTATGGTCAGATCGGAGGCTACTTTCCATAGGACCCTTCTTCTTGTCCACAGTACTATTGTTTGTGAGTAAGAACCTTTGCGGTAGCAGATGAGAAGGAGGAAACTCCAGAGGTGCCCCAGGGCTAAGATAAAAAACATCATTAAAGGACAGAGACCCTGTTCTAAGACTGGTAGTTCCTGCTTTTTGGAAAAGCACTGAATCCTAGTGAATCAGGGATGCACCTGCACAGAGAATGCTACAGGACCCCCTGCTTCATTATGATATCATTAGAATAAATTAGCATTGTTGGGACCCCTTCCTGTAGCCAATCAAGGAAGTCATGGGAGACCACATGCACAGTAACTTTAAAGTAAAATAACTACGTGTACATGCACAATAAAAGCCCTGCCAAAACCAGCCAGGAGAGACCCGCCCTGTAAGAATAAAAGCCCTCTGGGCCTGAGGTCAGCCCTGTTAGACTTTCTCTGCTCAGCTCTGCGCTGCTCCGCTCTGCTCAGAGTTGGCCTGCTCCCATCTTCTGTGTGGCTCAGTAAATCTGCCTTCTCTCACTTCCTGCTATGAACTCTGTGTGTTCGGTTCAATTTTTTGTCAGCGATCACCAAGAACCTGGTTACCTGTGCCCCCCTGTGACACCTGGACTGGTACACGCCACTCCCCACCCCTCCAAGCTCTCTCTTCCCCCATTTCAATCAGTGGTGACACAGGTCTGCACCCTCGAATCCAGTGGCCACCTGGGTCTCCTCCTCTCCCTGCACCCCAGCCCTCCAGCCTGCTCTGCTCTCCGCCACCACGGCCAGCCTTCACGCTCAGGCATCTGCACCTGTAAGCGCTGTTCTTGCATTTTTAACCTCACCCTGAAGTGATCCTCCTGAAATGCAAACTAGGTCAGGTTAACCCTCACGGAAGCTCTGGGAGAGGCTTTAGTAGAGTGGCCTCCCCAGAGTTCTTGCCTTGGTGCCAGCCACCCTCTTGCTCTCTAAGCTGCAGTCTTTCTTCTGCCCTTGTATTTCTTTTGTCTGGAGCGTTATGCCACCTTTTCCTCCCTCCCACCCCTACTTTGCTTCCAGCACTCAGCTCCTGGGGACACACAGCCTCTGCCTGGAGGCTGTACAGCCCCCTGTGCTTCCAGGGGCTGTTTAGCATGGTGCTCCATCTTTGCTACTTATAAGCTATGTGACCTTGGGCAAGACACCAGATCTCTTGGACCTTAATTTCTTCATCTGCAAAGTGGGGTTAATAATGTTTGTCCCTCCAGATTCATCCTCCACTCGTCACCCTGCCATGCCCCGGACGCTGACCCTTTGAAACCGGAAAAGTCAGCATTTGTGCTCCCTGTCGCTGGAAGCGATGAGTAGAAATGAGGACTTTACGGGCACTCTATTCAGACGCCGGCGACCTGAGACGATGGTGAGCTATGCACCCTCAAAAATGTCTTAACATCTCATTTCAAGATGACCTTTTTCAAGGAGAAGAAAGGGTGGATAAGGGGTTTGGAACAAAGGCTAATTGGATAAGAGTTCCAGTCCCCCTATGATTTTCCTAGTACTTCTTTATCTGTTGATCAGCATCATGGGCGTTCCCTCCCTGGAACACAAATGGCTCAGGTACCAGCGCCAAGGCAGGCAGACCCCCTGGGACACAAGGTTGAATTGCTCTCACCTCCTGGAATCACTTAGGTCATGCATTCCAATTCCTGGAATAACAGCTTTCCGCAGGCATTAGTCACTTAGGCCTATCAACTAAGGCTAAAATCTCTAACTCTTGAGTTCCTCTACTACTTTCAGCTGCATTTCCCTTCTTTCTGGCTTCCATTGGATTTGGCCAATGGGAGGTGTCTTCAGAGAGCAGGGGCCGGAGGGACAGCAGGCAGCCTCTTCCTGGCCGCCTCCTCCCTCAGGCCACGCCTCACAGTGGGCAGCCTTATGGGAGGTCACAGCTTTCTACAGCGGCTGTTCTTTGGGAGCCTCTGGACTGTTCTGTAACTCTACCCAAGGCGCTGTAAATAGTCACTTTGTTAATATCTCCTGGAGCTTAGGTGAAAAGGAGATTCTGTGGGTGCCTCACAGGATGATCTGATCATCGGTTCCTACTTGGGCAGGTATGGTCAGAGTCACACCCCAGGCCTATGATTTCTCTGGAAAAAGGTTTATCTTTAACTTCAGTCAGCCCTGTCCATTGCTCTGGTGTGTCTAGGTCGACACACCTTTGAAAAGCCTGAGTGATCGCCTTTCGCAGAGCCTTAGAGCCACAACCACCCTCAGAAGCGCACGGGCTCTTGGTAGCTGCCCTGTGACCCGGTCCCCACCTTGCTTTCTCCTACCTTCATTTAATCTTTCACACTTTCCTGCCTTAATTGCAAATGCATAAAAGAAACTACAAACTCTCATTCTAGGAAGCATTTTTCTCAGTCTGTTGAGATTTTGTTTCCAGGAATATCCTCTGGTTCACATGAGGTTTTATAAAAATTCTCCACAGGTTGGCAGAGACACGGCGAATCCTGCCACCAGGCCGCGGGGCTGCCGAGGACCAAATGGGAGCTCTGTCACAAAGCTCTGTCACTGCACCTGGGAGGGCTCGCTTAATTTTAGCCCTTACTACGTTTTCTTCAACATTGAATCGTCGCCTCATTTCTCAAGAGATGATTTTCTGCCAAGAGGCTGGATCTGAACTGCAGAGACCACTCTCTGCTGTGTCTCCAGCGCGTAGCCCGGAGCCGAGCACAGTCAGCCGGAGTGTCTGATGGGTGAATGTCTCGTTTGCCTGGGTGGAGGCTGGTGTGGTGCCGGGGGAGGGTGCGGCAGGGCGCCCGGGCCCCTAGTGCAGCTCTGTTACCGGACCGCGAGCGGGCCCGCTGCCCGCCGCACCCTCTGGGCAAAATTCTGAAAAGGTTTGGTGACAAAGGAAAGGAACCTTTATTCAAAAGCATCACGGTTTTGGAATAACAGCCTAGACTTCCATGTGCATTGGTCACTTAAGCCTATCAATTGAGGCTAAACTCCTGAGTTCTGCCATTCTCCTGTTTTAATTATCTTATTTCTATAGGGTTGGTTTCCATACTAAAACAATGTAATATACAAAAGCTACACAATTTTGGAAGAATGGCAGGTTTCTGCCTCAGAGTCCGTCCCCTCTAGAACACGCAAAGAATAACCGTGCCACCCCCTGCCAGGCCAGCCCGCTCCTAGGCTGTGCCCAGGGTTCCTTCCGGTACAAAACACTGCCCGCTGGGAAATGCGGGCCGCTGCAGCGCGGCCATCCAGGCACCTGGAGGGGGAGAGCCTGAGAGCCCTTCTTTTATTTCAAATCTTCTTACCCGCAATTCCATGCGTTCTGGAGGCGTCCAGCTTCTCAACCAATCCCATCCTTTGCCTCAGCAACCTCCTCTGATGGCCTCTCCCTACTGCTCCCCAGTGACCTGATCTCTGTCTCAGTTCCATTTGTGCAAAAGGTCCAGGGAAGACTGACCCTTGGAGACAGCAGGTATAGAGCGGGTCTTGGGTTCCAGTGGGGCTCAGCTTTGGCGACTGCATGTGGAAGCAGGGGCCTGCACAGCCCCCGGCTCGCTGGGCCCCAAGGGGAAGACCCGCCTGCGCCCCCCCGACCAAGCCGCACTCCCGGAGGTAGAGGCCTCTTTCCTAATCGGTACAGAGTGGTCCCTTGGGTCTCTACCCCCAAACCTAGCTTCCTCCACTTAGACAGGAGATGGCGTCCTCCTGCCTGTGCTCTGAAAGGACAAAGCGGGCCCCATTTGCTATGGTGGCACCATTTGCTGAGCAGGCCTGTGACCTTATTAAACATGTCTGCATTTACTTCTGAGCCTATGTTCCCAGGACTGGAAATTACTGGGAAGTAAGAACAGAACGGTGACTAACAGGCCCCCACAGTCCCAGGCAAAGGGTAACATTGGAGCGAAGTGCAGCTCCTGCAAAACTACCCTGAACCTCCGGTGTGGCCACGCCCCCAGCAGCCCAGGGGCCCCCGACAGCACCCCCGCCCCTTCCCCAGACCCAGGAGGAGCCAGTGGTGAAGGCTGAAGAAGCAACAGCCCTGGCCGCACAGGGGACCAAGAATGGACTCCAAGGCCAGCGTGTCTGCCACGTCCAGCCCCAAGCCCGTTAAACACAGGGCAGCTTTAACCAAACCCTGTCTTAATGAGCTTTATTTGGAGTTGGCTTAATATAAGTTTTTCTGTAAAAAAAAAAACCCCTCCCCTCAACAACCAGGAAAGAGAATAGCTTTGGGTGGGAGTTTTTCTAAGTGGGCTGGAGAGGCAGCCGCTGCTATTGAAATGCTCTGTGTGTAGAAGAGGGGAGGAGGTCGGGTTTCAGTCCAGGCTGTTTTGTTTCGCTCCCTTCCAGGGCCTCCTCCTGCTCCCGATCTCTTCTGTATTTGAAACTTAAAAAGAAGCGAGTCTGAAGTAAAGTCGCCATGCTAAGCCCCATGAAGCCTGAGCACCCAGCCTGACGGCAGTCCCAGCCGCTCCCAGCTATGGGGTCTGAACCAGCTGGGTGGCCTGGCGAGGCCCTGCCTCCCCTGAGGGGAGGCGGCATGGCTGGAAACCACCCACTCTGTCAGCGTTCTTGTTCCCCCTTTTTTCTGCCTGTAAAAGCCTTCCGTTCTGTTCAACTCCTCAGTATACCTGTGTTCACTAGATGGGATGCTGCCTGATTGACGAATTACTCAATAAAGCCGATTAGAGCTTCAAGTTTACCCAGTTGAAGTTTTGTGTTGTAACAGAATCCAGCAGGGACCCGCTGCGGGGCGACCCCTTGCCGCCTCGGCGCACGGCGGTCAGACCTGGTGAGGCCCCGGGCCTGGGCCTGCGGGAGCGTGACATCCTGGGGCGCCCGTGCGTGCCGGGGCCTCCCACTCCGCCTGCTGACAAGGCCTCTGCTCTGCATGGCACCTCAGCTGTCACCTCTGGCGGCACCAGGGAATCGGCAGGCCAGCTGCCCAGGCGCTGACACGCAGGCCCACCCCGAGATGCTGGGTGGTCGGCTGGAGCGGGGCCCATTGAGCAAGGGGACTGTGCAGGCTCCTGCTTCCCTGTGCAGCCGGACCCAAGACCTGCCCTGTACCTGCTGTCTCCTTGGCTCAGCAGCCACCCTGTGGTCGGGATGGCGGGGGCATGGGCAGGTGCGTCTGATCAGAGACTATTTTAGCAGCAGCATCTGGGAACACACTGGCAATGCTGGTTCTCGGCCTATGGACTCAGGGCCTCAGGATGGGGCCCAGTGCTCTGTGTTCAAAGAAGCCCTCTGAGGGATTCCAATGGGCTCTCAAATGTGAGAATCCCTGCCCTGGACTAACGATAGAATTATCGCGCAGTTCCTCACTTTTCAAACCCTGACTCGCCTGGGCATCGCAGTATAATGTGATTCCGGTGCAGCTCTGGGAGGAGCGCGCTCTGCCCCCAGCCGGCCAAGCAGCACTGCCGGTGGGCGGCCCCGCCCTCGCGCAGCGGTCGAGCGCTGGCTGCGTGCAGACCCCGTGCCAAGCCCTCACTTATCCCCCCTCATCTCCCCGGAAACACGAAGAGGTAGGTATTATTATTAGCATTTCCACTTCTTAACAGCTTTATGGAGAAACAATTTACTTGCCTTACCACTCGCCCATCTGAAGCGTACAATTCCATGGCTTTTGTGTGTTTGCAGAGCTGTGCAGCCACCAGCTCGGCCAGTTCTGGAGCGTCGTCTCCACCCTCACGGGAAGCCCAGCCCCACAGCGCTGGGCCGCCTGCTTTTTCTATAAATAGGTTTGCCTATTCCAGACATTTCATGTAAAAGGAACCATACACTGTGTGGCCTCTGTGCCTGGCTTCTTTCACTTAGTGGATTGTTTTTGAGGTCCATGCACGTGGTGGCATGTGTCAGGGTTCTCTTCTTTCTATGGCTGTGTAATATACCATTGGTGGAAAGACCTCTTTGTTATCCATTCGTCTGTGGATGGACATGGGGATTGTTTCCATTTTTTGGATATTAGGGGAAGTGCTGCGTTGGCCATTTATGAACAAGCATTTCCATTTGACAGAACCGAGGCTGTTTCCATCTCACAGAGCAGACCCGGAGGCTGAGAGACCAGGCAGCCTGGGCGAGGTCACAACCAGCCCAGCGCGCTTTCTGCCTCCTAGCCGCCAGCCCCAGATGCCCAGGTGGCAGCAGCACGCAGGGCGGACGAAGCACACTTGTTCCTGGGGAAGGAGCCAGGGCCCTGGACTCAGGGCTCCTGGATCTGAGTCTTGGCTCGACTCCTTCCCTGGGGACCGTGGGCAGCGCTCAGTTATCCCAGGAGACAAATGGCGGGTCTATTCAGAGCTGCATGTGGAGGAGGGAAGGTGGGCACGGAACGCGTCCTCAGTATGTATGAGCAAATGCTGGCCGAGATGGCGCTCCAAGATCAGGACCAGGGCGGCTGGCAGCGGGAGTCATCGGAGCTTCATCGTGGGGTTGGGGGCCAGGCGCAGAGAGGGGAGGAGAGGCAGGGGCGGCAGCATTCCGGGTGGGGCGGACCCGCTGCCTGGGGATCCAGTCCCTGAAGCTTCCCGCTCGCCCCCGCAACCATTGCCCAGGCCCAGGGGCGACTGCCGCCATGTCCGGGTCGGGCAACATCGGGCAGATGAGGGGAAAGGTGGCTCCGCAGATTCAGCAGGAACGCCGGGCACAGTTGGGAACATCAGAGGCTGGTGGCTTGTCGAGACACCAAGCGTGCAGACAGGCTCCCGCTGCCCAGCAGCCCCAGCGGCTTCCCCAGTCCCCTCCCTGCTCTGGGCCCCCCGGCCCAGGCCCCACAGCTGCTTGGCTCCCGCTGGGCACCCCCTACCTCACCACTGCCCCTCAACCCCCTTCAGCTCGCCACGGCTTGGTCCGAAAGGATGGGTTCAGCCCCGATTCGGCTGCCGTGAGTGGGCCTCCAGGCCAGCAAGCGCCTTAACCTCTCCGAGCCTCACCCGTAAAACGGGCAGCGCCTCTCCCAGGGTTCGTGAGTGGTATTTGCCTCTGTCGGGCCCGCTTAATCCTCTCGGCAATGCTGGGGGCAGGTGGGGGTTCAAAGGGGCCCCGCCGAGATCTGCCTCGGTGGTGTGTGTATTATTTTGAGCTAAAGGCAATTTTAGCTGCAGGCTCAAGAGAAACTTCTGCCCTTCCCTGACCACATGGAAGAACTTGGATCAGAGGCCTTGCCCACAATGGGAGATTATCAGGGACAACCTCGTCGGACCTGTCTCTAAGGGCAGGGCAGACTTCCACTCTCTAAGCACCTGCCCTTCTTACCATCCTGCAAAGGCGCTTTGAGGCCCCCAATGCACCCACCCCGGCCCTGGCTCAGAAGGTCACACACCCACATTCCCTTTCTGTCTCCGAGTCCTCCTGCCTGTGGGTCTCTGACACTCTCCTGTATGTGGGGCCCCATCCATAGCTATGTATTTAATTTGGTGTTTTCTCTTGCCAATCTGTCTCATGTCTATTTGATTATTAGACCAGCCACAAGAATTTGTTTTTCCTTTCACAGACACTTCTGTTATCTCCACTGATCAGAAGAGAAAACTGAAGTTTCTCTTTTGTCTGGGCCTCCGCTTCTGCGTCGGCAGCATGTGCAGCTCGCGGAAGGAGAGAACTTGGAGGGGCCACCCTTACGTTCCCGCCTCTGTCCTGAGAGTGGGGCAGGCCAGGCGCAGGGAGCAGCATGAGAGGCAGGCTTTTTCCAAAATCAGCCGTTTG